ACGACTACGACTACGACTACGACTACGACTACGACTACGACTACGACTACGACTACGACTACTACTACTACAACTACTACTACTACTACTACTGCTACTACTACTACTACTACTACTACTACTACTCAGTTACCAAGCTACTAAGCTACTCCTGCTCCTGCTCCTCCTTCTCCTCCTGTTGCTGCTACTGCTACTTCTACTGCCACTGTTACCTGCTCATGCTCCTACTCATACTGCAGCGACTGCTACACTTCGACATTTACACATCGTCTCTGTCCTTCACGCGCATAGGCAGGCGTTGGGGTCTGAGCACGGCGTAATGTTGCCCTTCAGCCGCCGGGTCACATATGCTGAGTTCTAAGCTCACACGGACAAGAGCATATCGTGAGGTCACCCTACTGCAACAAGCGTGTGCACCATGTCTGCTGTGAAACATTTTCGAGACGCGTTCGGCCTCGGTCCCCAAAACGCTCCGTCTGGCTCTCGTTTTGCAAGACATTGAGGTGGCTGACGCTGTTCTGTTCTACTGACGGTACTGGTGGTTCTATCTACGAGTCAACTGTGATGCTGCCACTGCACTCTCGGCAATACATCAAGTGGCAGCGAGCATCAACAAACAGTCTTCGCAACTACTGTGCAATCGCGGCATGAATAGAAATGCGAAAGGACAAGGCCAGTCATCCCGCCTAAGGCCAAGTCAATCAACTTGCTATTTCCAACGAGGTTTTCTGACAAGCATAGGATCAGGAAGTGGCCCGTGGTCTGCCTTCGGTTCTTGCATCGACCGTGTGCTTTTTTATGTTCTCGGCGGACAGCTTCAGGCAGGTTTCCCGTCATGGACTAGATAGCCATCATCTAGCATCTGCGAAGTAACCCAGTCAGAGCGCAAGAGAGCGTCTTGGGCGGCCAAGCAGGCTCAGGACAACACGCAGGAGCTGTTTTTGGAGCAGCCACCACCTTGGGTAGATCCTGCATCCTGGGCAGGGTGGCTGGTCTCACAATGTCGGAAATAATCAGGATACTCGCTCAAAGCTTCGAGTTGTGAAGTGCGGGGCTTCGGGTCGAGATTTGAAGTGTGGGGCTTTGGGCAATTTTGGCTGGAGCCTGTCGGCTCAGCGCTGAGAGTCCGATGGTGGCGCAGGAGGTCCTACAAAACAGTAAGGACCAAGGAATACAGCTGTCACTTGCTTCAGCACCAAGTGCGAGGCTGTTGTATGGGGTGTGGGATCCTGAGTTTGGGGCACAAACTGATACTGTTCTGCACACGCTACAGCTTGTCAATTAGAAGTAGTCGTATGCGGACATACACTTAAAGTTAAAGGTGCTCAAACGTGCCATGGCTCTGCAGACATCTCCGAAGCCTTAAACGCTGCACACCATATGCCACAAAATAAACACTCAAAGCCGTAAATTCGCAGCACCTAGGCCCTTTAAGCCCTAAGGCTTAAAATTGCCGAGTGGCGCCGGGATCCTCAGAAAGAGCTCGCCAGTTGGTGTCAACCATGGTGGTTAGGAGCTTCGTCAGTTCTTCCTCGAGAGGGTGAACAGGAATGAGCTGAAAGAATGAACTCGCGCTTTGGAGCAAACTGTACGGTATGTTCATGATATAGGGTTGCCAATATATAGAAGACGGAATCATCCGAAAGAGAAATACAGGCTGGTCGACGACTTGTATCAGCGCTTTGCCGTCATTAGGAAGTACTATAGGTATGGGTAGTTGTCAAAATTATGGTCCCTTTTGGGGTACCCTAAATAATAGGTGCCGTATTATAATAAGGACCCAAAAAGGGACCCTAATTTTGACAACCACCCGTATAGATGCATGGAGGTGGTCAGTTTGAGGATGTCGTTCGTCGGAGGTGAGCTGCGTGCCCCTTCAGACCGAAGACGTGGCAGATGTTTGCGGCTGTATGACCGAAGAATATACGGGTAAATCATTACTAATACTATTTTGGGGTTCCTTATTATATTTATACTATAATGGGCCGCGAAACCCTTGTCTAATTACTAAGGCCCCTAGATTAAGTCTTGTAACATCGATGACCGAACGAGGTGCCGCAGGTATCGGCCACAGCTTGAGTGCCAAGCCCGGCTGTGGCACACAAGCATGCTTTGGGTTTCGGAGCTTGGTATCAAGCAAGTTGGCACCACAACTGCCGCCGCGAATCCGGGTTGTAATATACATCCATGCCAGTGATCTGCAGCTCCATGTTGACCTGCATTCTGCTCTTGTCCCAACCCCATAGCCGCAGAAAAGTCACATCGCACACCGGCTACTGCCTGGACGATTAGCGATATTCATGCAGGGAAAGCAGGTCTGACCCTTCCCTCAACTCCACGCTAACTCATGCCTTCGGTTTCCTTCGAAGGCTGATGCTATGCAACGCTCTCTTGGGGTCATTGACAGACAAATCTTGCAAACTGTTAAGCCTCCTGTACTACGATGTTCTGCATACGCTGGTCTGTCCTTGTTTTTTGCTTGTGACACGTTGCTGGCATGCTTCTCTTGTACAAGACATCCTGCTGCATTGACAACAGATGGCGGGGTCTTGGCACGTCTGGCAGTACTGCTATGCCATACTTGTTGTCATACTTGAAACCCCCGGGACCCTCTGGTGCTAACAGCATGGCGGCTACAAAACGTAATCCTCGCACTTCTAAACGGTCTGACTGCTGTGGAATCCAGCTTGCAATGCGAGACAACTCTTGCCTTGGCAATGCACATCCCAACAATGCCTCGGCTGTTTGGAAGATATTCTGAAACAGGCCGCCGTGATTTGATCGGATATCCGGAGGGGTCTGGCGCTTGACACTACAGGTTTCATAGGATTTCAGGGTTGACTTCTAAAAGAGAAGCTCTTGTTGGATTTCCTTATGTAGACCCTAAAACCTACTGAAGCCGAACATCATGCTGTAAGCCCTTGAGCTCTGAACTGAGAGCTTCATCATACCAAAGCTTAAAGGAGAACTTCCGCCGAAGCAGTCATACCAAGTTACAACAAGTATGTGTCAGGCCTCGAAAGAACGAACTTGCTTTTAAGGGGCCCTCAAGGTAGGAACCGCTGTCCACGAAGCAACAAAAGCTGCTTTGTTGGAAACCTAACTCAGAACCCCCCAAACCCACCTTTCCTGGCAAGAGCCTCCCCCGTCAAGTGCTGGCGGCTTGGTGTTCAGAGCTCAGATTCCTAATACCTTGTAGAGGGCCCCGGCTAGGGTTGGGTTCAGGGTTCCCCCCAACCGCGTAAAGCCGCGGACCCTGAGGAAGGCTAAGAAGCCGGGCTGCTCACCATCTGCCCGTTGCCCTTGTATCTGCGGCCAGCTCTGTCAGTAAACACGCCGGTGTACTTTCCAAAGTGTCTCCACTTGAAGACGACCTTGGGTGCGCACGTCGGACGGAGCACCAGAAGGGTTGAATGCAAGAGACATGCTTGCAGCGCCCCACCTCTTGAATTGATCACCCAGCAATATCAGGTCAAAGTCAAAGCCTAAACTCAACTCTTGAGGGAACGATGTTCATCCACAAGCCGCACAACTCGACTGTCCTAAACACTCGATCGTTTTGAACCTCACCCGGAACCATGATCCTCCATGCTTTTGCGTCCCCAATATCTTCTAACATAATTTTAGGTTTTATTCTGGTTAGCTATTATATTATATCCTATTCGAACTGATTTATTCTCCCATTCTATTCTGTTCTTCCATGAGAGTGTCCTAGGCTACACCAGACGTACAAGTGTCATGTTATACTCTGGAGCCCAGGGGCAGTCGGCGGTCCGGAAAAGACCTCCGCTGCGGCGGTTGGGGTTTTTATGTTGGCATTGGATACAGCAAACCCCTAAACGATGGAACGTAGATTGGGGATGATTAGTGCTGGGATCCCCTATATAAAGCAAGGGCATGAGGATGATGATGTTAAAGCGTTCTCGCTTCTACTGAAGCGTTACAATTCCGGCTTTGTCTTAAGACCCTTTCTGACGGGAAGAGGAGGAGGAGGAGGCGGAGGAGGAGGACTACTACTACTACCAGGACTAGGACGTTCCTTAAACCACCTCGGCCCTCAACTACTACGTACTGCTTCTGCGGCTGCCGCTGCTGTTACTGGTGACGACCCCTATCACGATCGCTGTGGCGGCAACGTCGGCACTGCCAGGCAACCATGTACTTCCACTTCACCTAAGGATACTCAAGGCATCCCATTTCAGTCCTCTGACTTCAAAGTCCGAGGTCGGAGGCAGCTTACCGGGCAAGCGAAAACCGGTCAACTCATGACACCTAAAAACCCAAATCCGTCCATTGAACCCCCAACCCAATAGCAAACACAAGCAGAAAAGTCTACACTCGCCAAATCGTGAGACATCCCATCCACCACACCTCCAGGCATTCCCAGGCAAAGCCCATGGGAAATGCGGTGCGAAACACCTGCTGTGGGCTTGGGTGCCTTCGGGTGTGCGAGGTGTTAGCTACCTAGAGGTGTAGCTGTCGAAAACAATAGATAAAGTCAGATTCAGAGCATTGTGAAAAAAGTAAAGAGTTCTAAATCTGAAAAGTTAAAGCGATGGACTCAGGGCAAAGTTTGGATTTTGAAGCTTCCTCCAGACCCATTGACTGAGGCCGAGGCTTCACGAAGTGCACTGCAGTGGAAGGCCCTTTCGATTTGATTTGGGTATCCGGTCTCGAAGCTGACTCGCCGGATAATCGGTGTAGCACCAAATTCGACCCTGCGCCCCCCCCCCCCCCCCCCNNCCCCCCCCCCCCCCCTCCCCCTTCCCACAGCATGCACCTTCTGGGAGGACTCGAAGCTATGTAGTCCTGGGTCTTAGCGTCATTGGGATCTAGCTTCAATTGTACCCTACGGCTTCGGTAGACCCTACAAACACCGAAACCCAACAATCCAAAGCAGCTAGGTGAGGAGGGTGCTCGATGGTCTTGGGGCGAAGGGGTTGTAGCTCAATCTCCTGGACTCCTGGTTTCAGGCTTCAGGACCCTTCTCATTTGCGATGTGGGTCTTTATGGACTTTAAGTTGTAAACGAATGAACATGACTTAGAACTTCAACTGTGAACCCTCACCGTTGAACCGGAGTCAGGGTGGACAGTCAGGGTGGAGGGGTAGCGCGGGATGATGCATCACGACCCTTTACACCCAACGCTCTAAACTTTATAAGATCAACGATGAAGCTGTTTGGCGGAGAACCAGGGTTGCTGGCTGCCAGAACCTAGCTGATTTCAAGCACACATGCCCGCCGAACACTTCGACATCATCCAGTACAAGACTGATGCTTCGAATCTCGGGCTCAGTACGGTTGATGATATAAATCCTNNTCCTGCATTACCCATAAAAAGGAATAGATCATATATTCCATAGTTTAGGGTCCTTAGGGTAATGCGGATTTATATCACCAAAATGTAGATGTATGTAGCCGCGTGTGTGCTTCTTTTGCTGCTGCTGTTGCTTGTTGTTTTTGATGCTGCTGATGTTGTTGCCGTTGCTGTTGTTGCTGCCAGTTGTTGCTTCAACAATTGCTGCTGCTGCTGTTATTGGTGGTGTTCCTCCTCCTGTTTCTACCCCTACTACGAAAACTCACTTACTTTATGACACCTAGTCGTATGACGTCGACGGCATCGACGATTCCTCGTCTTGATGTCGCTACTTGCCCCTTGCTGTCGACTACGAAGCGACTAAATCACAAGCAACCATAACACAACGAACAACAAAAACATGTCGTTCAATGAGAAACACGCAAGCGATCAAAAGCTCTCGAGTCAGCCGCGGTGCTACAGTTGTAGTCTCGGGACTCTCCCAAGAACCTGCCACCGAAACTCTGATGAACTTGAAGGCTTTAGAGACGAGGATCAGGGTTTATAGGGCCAGGATGCGGGGAATGCATATCCGAGATTGAGCATTGGAGCTGGGGTTTAGTTCACCAGGGTGCCGGTGTTCGGGTTCGGGACAAAACGTTGAGGATGATTTGGCGAATTGGTTGAATGACGTTGCCGCAAAGTTGTGTGTATGGCTCGGAAGGTTTGGGTTTCAGGCTCCCTGCAAGCACAAATTAAGGCTCCGATATGGGATCCATAACGGATCTAACTATATATGGATTCGAGGGATCCTGGTGATGACGAAAAAGTCTTGGGCTTGATGATGTGGGGGTCGTACAGCAGGATCACTGCTGGGCTCAGGGCAACAAGTTCACGTGTGGGGTTGCCGAGTTGAGTGGACTTGATGCCTCAACCAAGGCTAAGGCTTTAAGATTTCAGGTTTTGGGCTCTGTCTGGGCCACTTGCTGGGAACAAACATGCTACATCGTCACAGCCCTAGCCTTTGTTAACACTCAACCTCAGCTTCTTAAAGATCCATGCGAATATGAACATCCTTGTCATCGTCCCTAAAGTCCCTACTCAAGGAGGGAAGTCTTGCGTAAGTGTCTACGTCCCTGAGCCCACACCCTGGACCCTTTCAATGTTTCTCCGAATCTTCGTGCTCGAAGTGCCGGGTGATAACAAGGGCTTGAAGGATTGACCCGAGAGTTACGGGAAGAAGGTACGGTGGTTTCAGGAGACCTGCAGTAGCTTCAGGAGTATGGCGTCGAGGTATAGGAATCTCAGCACAGAGAGGTTTGTTGCTGAAGCCGCACGTCGTAAGGGCGGGACAGATTGCATGCCCCGAAGTCGGACATGTGCTGTGCCTCGGGTGAACAAGAGTCAGCTAAACTCCCCACAATATGGGAGTTTCCAAAAATTAGGGTACCTTATTTGGGGATCCTTATAATAAGGATCCTATTATTTAGGGTCCTATATTAGGGTCCCCTATTTCGGAAACCCCCACATCTGAACTATCCTGATTGATCCCCTGCGGGGCAGGAGCTCCCTTCCTCAACATGCAGCACCTTGGGACTACGAGCGAACGCTGCTTACAACTGGCGCTTGGAGTCTTGGAGCAGCGGGTTCAGGGATTGCAGCTTGGCATTTTTCCATCCAACTCAACTTCCATTGAGGACCTTCCCCCCCCAGCATTTTCTAAGCAACTCTCGAAGGGCCGAAGGGTGGATAAAGAGCTCGGGGCTTCGGGCCTACAGCGAGGCAGAGGCCTCGTGAGCTGAACTCATCCCGGCGGCTCTACCAGTAAGGCCGCTACAATAAAGCCTTGCTTCCCCAATAAGCCAGGGAAATAAAAGGTTAAACTTTCAGATTACTATTAAAGTATAAGAACCCCCAAAAAGTTTAAAGGTTGGGTATTGGGGAGCTAAGAAGAGAGAACGACGAACGCGAGACCCCTGCCCGGTCCAATCATAAAGCCATATACCCCAAGACAACCCCCATCATGTCGCCGCAGCCACCATGAAAGGGCAGCCACCGTTGATGGCACCCTGCCAGGTCTGTATTGGTGAGTTGCTTCGGGCACCTCTGGGGCGGGCATTTTCAAGGCAATCCTCAACATATGTTTGGGGCTGGCGCAGAACTCATAAATGCTTTCGGCGTTTGATGTTAGAAAAAATGGTCATTCAAGTCTGAGCCCAAGGCTCGAGGGCTGTTGCACTACCCTCAGAACTCAGAACTCTAAGAAATACCATCTAATCATTCGGATCCCCTAAACAAGCCCATAAGGTCCCTTTTCAGGAGCCCAATATGTATGTGACCCATAGAGGCCGCCCGAAACCCGACCCTTCACTCAGAAAAGCCATAAACCCACACCCCACAACAAGTCATCAGCCCCGAAACCTTCAAATCCCCAAGCCCAATAGCAAACCCCAGGCTGGGTCATAAACCCTAAAGCCTAGCTGCTCAATTAAGCAACACAGCTGGCTTCTAAAACATACTAATAATAATCAGAATAAAGGTAACGCTTAGAATAAAAGTAACAAGAAGAAGAAGAAGCCCTCTAGCCTGGAACTTCGAGATGTCCATGGTCTTCCAGTGCTGAACATCGGCGATATGATGCGCTTCCACGGCCTGGGATTTAGGGTGCATCGGTTTAGAGGTCAGAGAGTTGAAGGAGTCTAGGATTGATGGTGTTTTGGATGTACAGGTTGTGTAGTGTGTACCAAGCGCAGAGGGTTTTAACGAGTTTCGAGAGTCTTCGAGGGCGTATGGCTTCCGCTTTGAAAGCTTCATGGCTTGCTGGTCGAATGTCGAAGAATTGGGAGCACTAGGTTCTGGCAGGTATACGTGGGTAGAGGAAGCATGAGATTATTGCCCTCCAGGTGGAAAACAACGATTTAGCATTCTGTTGAGTCTTGGGTTGGAGCCACACGGTTGAGGGTTGCGCCAGGGTCGTTGGTATCGTGCAAGAATTCCGAAGCCTTTATGGCTTAAGGTCTCTTTGACAGGCGTACCTGAACAGGTATGTACCTTCTCGCGGGATTTGAGGACAACTCCCATTCACCGCGCAATGGTGCAAAAACTCGAGGTTTCTTTATTTTTGGATTTGCAGATCGGGTTCGTCGGGGCACGGGTCAGGAGGCTCCAGGCTTTAGGCTGTTAGGATGGCGGTTAAGGGTTGTCATGTGCTGTGCAAGAATTCTCCCGAGCAAGGTGCGCATGATTGCGGCGGCTGGAGTTCAAGGTGTTCGTTTTGGGTTGGCAAATCTGGAGTTGGTGCGGATTTACAGGACTGACGGACTGATGGTCGTGGAGGCCAGAGGGCTTCGAAAGGTTACCATACTCCAAGCCCTACAACTAAACTTAGCCTGTACGTGCTGAGAAGACAACATAAGACAACACTGCGCCACAGCTCCAAGCACCCGACACCCTGAAAACCTAAAACTACCTTGACATCCTGGGTGAACACTGTGAGGGTTCAGGGCTTCATGGTTGCTACCTGGTTTGGAGACGGTGCTTTCTGCGCATTTAGGTGTTGCAGCAAGGTGTGGGCAGACACGTCTTAGTTTCGCGCTTCTGGTAATGCTCCCTGTAATCACAAGCCTCTGCTTAAAATCTAAGGTAGAACCCATGGGCCCCTAGTATGGGCCCTTAACCCTGGGACCCTAATATACCTACTATATACCCTATATATACTTTTAAGGGACCCGAGAATCCCCTAAGGGCCCATGTTAGGGGCCCATGGGTTCAACCTTAGATAAAAGCTCAATCCCCAACAAGTCCCGAAACCCCCGAACATTAATCTTATTCTTCTACAGACCGTAAACACAGACCAGGTTCCCAGTTCTTGATCAGCTTGCTGACGATGGCCTCCAAAGAGCCCACCTGGAGCTTCAAAAGAGGAAGCTTCCTTCTGCAAACACTGGGGCAGCAGGCTGGTTACTATAAGGGATACTACAGTAGAAAGGGTACCTAGGATTCCTTTCGGGGTTGCTATAAAGGGCACTATGAAGGGTACTACAAGGGCGCTTAAAAGTCCACGAACCACAAAGCGTAGGCTGCTCCCGGCTTTAAGTTGTGGCTTTAGCGCTTCAAATCTGGTCGCTTTTGTTTATTCGTTTAACCTGGACTTTTGGAACTTTCCGGGCTTCAGAAACTGTAGTCGTGAGTTTAGAGGAAGCTCAGCTGCATCTGAGGGCTGAACAGCCGACAATAATTGGACCCGAAACTAGAGAATGTTGAAAGGTACTGTTTGTTGCTGTGTGGTCTGCCAGTGTGTCCAGAAGGTCAGAACGCAGACAAATACCGCGTGGCACATAGTACGCATCGGAGATGACCTCGACCCTAAAACCCGAAGAGCTCGGAGTACAGCTTGGGCGTCCCATCCCAAGCTGCTCTTCAGACTCGTCCACTTCGGTGGCAGTGCCGGGCTTGGCTCCCCCCAGGTGACTTCTTTAGGGCCGTTCGGGTTTTAAGTACAAAGTCTCTGTTCTATAGGAGGTTCTATACAACGGTACTGTAAGGATACTATACTTATAGCGTTCTGTAAGGGTACTGCACAGGGGTAGTTCGAATCTTCGTGCAGGCACCCGATAGGAACGCTGTACTTCGGGCCATACAGCCTGTCAGCGACATGGCTAAGCGGCACTACCCATAAGCCCCATAGTAGTTCCTTTTGGGGGTTCATATTTAGAATCCTACAAGGTAATCCCAAAAAGGAACTACTATGGGGCCTATGGGTACAGGTAGACCACGGCAACTGTTCGTGCCCGCCATCATGTCATCGGTCCATGCTGACGCGGACGGGCCCTAGTCAGCGGCCAGGTCCCAATGGCAATAGTCGGGAGCGCTGGCACCACAGTTCGCGAGGCCTCTTTGGCTCGTAGCAGCGAAATCGAGGAGTACCCTGCGCGACAACACTGTTGCCACCCACGCCCCTGCCGATGCCTGTGCTCACTGATCAAGCCGTCATGTCCCGAGAGATACGTGGATGCCTACATGTATTTCAACAGCTGAAGCATGTAGCCAGTGGACAGGCCTGCAAGGACCTGCCGCACTACAAGACGAATAGCTATTCAGAGCGTCCTTCAGGCCATTCTATGAAGGAATACAAGCCCACACCCGACACTCCAGACCTTTAGTATCAATTCCGTCTTCGCACGTTAAATCCTTGCACCGAGCTCTACATAGCTAATCTTCAATGTCCAGTTCCCAATTGAATCTATCCTTGCACCGAGCTCTACATAGCTAATCTTCAATGTCCAGTTCCCAATTGAATCTTACTTAGACCGAAACCTCAAGCCCAGAAGCCTGGACCCAAAACGACTCCAAGCACCTCGTGCTCTAGCGATCGGTACTCGAAGAAGGTCCGATTTACCTGGGCGCTAGCACGCGTTTTGCAACATTAAGAGCACAACCAAAAACCACTGCAGACACGAGAACACTGGCAACAACAAATAGGAGCAGAAACATCAGGGCGCCGACGACGACGACAACGACACTGACAGCGACGATGAAAACGACGTCGCACCACCACTGCGGTGGCTGCTGCTGCTACTGCTGCTGGTGCTGCTACTTCTGCTACCACCGCAGCGGCGACGATGACGGTATATCTTGTTTCAAGGGTGAATGAGTTTCTGGCCGGTGACGGTGGTGTTGAGGCTTAGGATAGCCTATGGCGCTGCGGGACTCCACGCCGTGACACTACCAACTCTATCGCCGAGCTGTGTTATGGAACAACATTCGTGGCCACGCATGCTAGCAATAGAGCAACCGTCCCATAGTGTACCACCGCAGAACGACTTGCTCAGGCCGATGTAAAGACAGTCACTGAAGTTGAAGCCTAAGTTTACATCCTACAGTCCTACAGCTTGCTAAGTTGCAAGCTTTAGTCATTCAGCTTCATTGAACGTCCCGAAATCCTGTCACCTAGCGCTCGGTACCTTTGAGGCTTCAAAGTATCAGTCTGGGAGCTATGAGGTAGTCAGGCTTCCCCGAGCGCCAGGAAGCTTTCGGATCCGGCACATAGTCGCGGATCACCTGTCTCTTTCACGACGGGAGGTGTTACACACCTCACCAGCACCCAAACGGGTTTCCCTTGGGTATACTGCTCCTTGCGAAGCTAGAGCATGTCTCGACTTTAAACTGATGCACCCACCGAAACCCTAACCTTTGTAGAGAGCCCTCATCATCCTCTGCCTACCTGTCTGGTACCCTTGGGCTTTCAAGCTGAAACCCCTTCTGTCTTATTCTTAACCTGTCGCTTTTGTTAATAAATTTCAAGGCTACGCAATAACACCAAAGTTCTGATGCCTGACTTTTTTGTTTATTTAGAGGTCATCTGTGAACTCGTCCTTCAACGAGCTCCACTAGCTCAACTTCGATGCTAACATGATGGAGATGAGAAGACGATGACGACTCTCCCTATGAATCTTAGTAACCTTAGTAATACATCAGTACATGTTTACTTTTAAGCCCCTCTTGCTCTTGTAGTTCATAACACCTAGACTCCAGGTATCGAGCAGCGGCTGTCATCAAAGTTGCGGTCTAGGTTGCCCCGCAATGGCAAGGCTCATGAAAGCTGGGCCAGGCCTCTCCAAAGAATTTGCCGGTAGATTCTTCCGACAGGTTGCCGTCCTTCCGGTGTTCCCGGTTCATGGGCTTGTGTGTCATCCAGCCTGTAGCTCAAGTGTCAGGGGTTTCGGGCAGCTGGTGTAGATGTACCAACTGCAACTCTGTCTGCCACCTTAAGCAGCCTGTAGTAGTCAGTAGCATGGACTCCAAGCCTTTGACCCGTGCTTTTCCCTGTGGACCCTGAACCCATCCCGGTCTCCTCTGCTTTCGTCTGAGACGCCATCGCCGTGTCAGATCCGACCTCTGCGCAGTCGCAGTTCCACTTAATTCCATGTGACGTGTCGGGGTCCGGGAATTAGATGAGGGTGTAGGGTTTTTTGGGTGTAGGCCTTGGGGCTTTAGCCAGTTAGGGTTGTATGGTTTCTGGGTTTGGGGTTAAATGGAATTGGGGTTTAGGGCCTTGGGTTTAAAGTAGAAATAGAAAGCCGGAAGCGGGGTCGGGAATGGAGTTTCGGGCTTACGGTTTTAAGGCTTTTGATGGCTTCAAGCAGTTTCGCCTTTCCGGGTCCTTGCAGGGTGTTGCGAGTTTGGTGTGGGGTTGGGGACTTGGGGTTTGGGGTTTAGGGTTTAGGGTTTAGGGTTTTTTTTTAGTAGGATTTAGAAACCATTTCACCCTCAATCTCGGTCCGATGGTGTGCCCACAGAGATGTCACCGCGGCCTCACACTGCTCTTGCAAGCATCCCTCATGTCAAATCTTACACCCCGAAATGCAAAAGCCAGTCCAACGTCCAAACCTTAAAGCATGAACCAACGCAGAAGTCGCCTGTTGACCGTTCGAGGACTGATTTAGAGTTTAGGCTTGGAGCTATCACCAGCTGAAATCACCAAATGCTGCCAAACAAGCATATTACGACCCTGTTGAACGGTTTGTTGCAAGCCTGCCAGACTGCTAGACTCTTTGCCGACACATCGCAAGCCATGAACCCAACACGAGTTTTGTTCGGCTACACTGCGCAGAATCCGAAGCCCCGAACTGCTCGGACGCGTGTCTCCGGAGCCCGTCTGACCGTATAACCCATTCCCCTAACTCTTAGTGCAGGAACCCCGCAGCGTTAGCATGCACATTGTTTGGTGAATGAAGAGAGAGCCACACACACACACACACGCACACACGAACCGAAAGCACCACAACAAAACCCAGGGCTGTCACGGAGCTCGAGCCGGGATCTTCGCGGTAAGATGAGCCCCCGATGCTAGGAAGGCAGTGGTGCTGTTAATGCACGACTGTGTATGGCTCCATTTGTGCATTGATAGATAGATAGGTAGGTAGACAGATAGACAGAGATGTACAAATCACAGAAAGAGAGTTCTGCGTCTAGGCACGGCGTTTTCTGAGTTTCGGATGCAAGCTTGGGCTGGAGGTTAAACAGGCTGTGTGAAAGCTCAGATCCGGGTTAAGGGCTTAGGGTCCAGGGTTTTCTGAATAGCTGCTTCCTCTAGAGACTCAAGCTTCCGATTTCAACATACATGCTGTGACGACCTTTGGTATTTATATGAAGAAGGACCCTAAGTTCGAGCTTTGAAGCGGCAGCAGATCATCAGCATCCAGGACTAAGGGTGCGGGGTGGAAGGTCTGCAGAGTAACATTGACTTAGGGCATGTCTCTGACTTACGAACCCTAAAATCTACCGCCTGTGCTGTGGGATCCTCTCTGTCGCAACAACTTCTAGGCAGTTGGGGACCAGCCCTTGATAGCAGCCAGCATGCACCGGGTACTTCGCAACCACGCATCCTTACATCCATCCCAAGGACTGGTTGTAACAATCCCTCAAGCCTTCTGCATCTTCGAGATGCTCGTTCGAACCCCAACAAAAATCTCTAAATCCACTGGCAGACTCGACGTGCAACATCATCCAGCCAAACTGACATCTTAAGTCCCCCAGTATAGCCACCTGAAGCCTGCAGCCCCTGAGCTGGGGCCAAAACACATTTATTTGGGCTTGCAGGCAATGTCCAAGCCTTCAGCTAGCATTGCATTGGGGATATCGTTTGTTTACTACTGACCACTCTTGAAGCATCCAGTACATTTTCAGGCCGCAATGAAGCAGCCTAACTATACTTCGATTCAAGCCCGTATGATGTCAAAGCTTCCTAGGGTCCTACAAACCAGAAAACAAATAAATTATGCACAGAGGGAGGGAGAGAGAGAGAGAGAGAGGGACAAGCCAAGCCCCTTCGAATCAAACATTCAAGCCTCTGCCGAATTCTGCCGAACTCCATCATCCCTTCTGAGGCAACGGCCGAAGCGGAACCAAAACAAAAAAACAGCACCCGCGAATGGCCTCGGGTACTTAATTCCGACGCAGGCCGCCAGACCAAAGCCAGACTCCTCGAGAAAAGGGCTATATGCAAGTCCTTCAGGCAAATAGTACCCCTACAGTACCTGTAATCGTAATAGTACCCCTCATAGCAGCCCCTAGTAGTACCCTTGGATCAAGCCCTGTACTTTTTCTCTTGCTGATCCACCAAGTGCAGGTCAGCAAACGTGACATGGGTAGAGCGCAGACTGCGAAAATCGCCGCTTCAGCCGAAACCCCATGGCTCAGCCGATGCAGCCAGACAAGGGCATCTCTCGGATCAACGTGTGTCGGTCCGCAAAATCACTCTACCCGCGAGCTGCTAGACGATCTAGCTTACTGGTATGGTGCACGACCTGCTTGCCCAGGAGTGGCATTCAAAATCCACCGGAAGCAAGCTCAAAGCATAACAAAGTCATGCACGTGCTTAGCTGGGCCCAGATGCGAACACTGCCGTTGCACTCACAGCTTCGAGAGCGCCGAGGACTTCTTGACATCAGAGTCCAGTCTCCGGACCTGCTGCTGTGCAGGTTTAGCCTATGTGTCTGCAGTCCCCGAGCCTACATAGTGGCAAAAATGTAATAAGGAACCCCCGCAAAGTAATATAGGTAATTATTTAGGCCCCTGTATTTAGGCACTGGAGTTCTGGTAGGGCTTTGAGCTTTGAAGGGTTCGGACTTCGGGGCTGGGGTTTAAGAGTTTCGGGGTGCAGAGTCGGGCGACTGGCGCTCCGGGTATCTACGACCAACTCAATTCGACTTCTTGGGGCCCGGGGTTTCGGGTTTTTTTGTTAAAGTTTTAGGGTTTAGGGTTTAGGGTTTAGGGTTTAGGGTGTGTATTGGCACCCCTTTCGGGTTTAGGGTTTACGGTTTAGAGTTTAGGGCCCCGAAACCAAAACAAATCCTGCACCCAATGGCCCGAGCAAACTCAAGAGGTCTCGGAGCGCGGCATCGCCCCGGCGCACGGTCGCACTGCCTCGTGTCGCGCACTGCGAGTTCCGGATGCTACCGTAGGGAACTCCGGGTTTCAGCATCTCCTCGGTTATTGTTGCATCACTGCTTCAGGATATACTGTATGCAGACGTTTGGGGTTCAGATCTGCAGATCTCTGAAACTCAGGGCCTAAAGGAGCAGAAGGATTTTTGAAAAAGGGCTTCCTATGGCCCAGAGCCTTGAAGCCTATAAATTCCCAAAGAGAACCTGCATAGGCTCCCACAAAGACCCTCGCTCTGAGCCTTCAGGCCCAGCCAGCCGGGCCTAAACCCAACAAGGCTTAAAAAGCTAAACCCTCATGCCGTACACGCTTAGTCAAAGACTTACAACTCCAAAACACTAAGCCCTTAAACACTCTCCCCCTAAACCCTAAACCCCTAAATCCTTAAACCCTAAACCCCTAAATCCTCAAACCCTAAACCCTCTCAGGCAATCGCCCATGTGTCCGTGGCTGGCTAGTGCTCGAGGAGGCTCCACATCGGGCACGCACCGATACACCTTCCCATTTAGATCCGGGTTGCAGGGTTCAGACGTGGGCGGGGCATCAACATCAAGGGCACCTTGATCAGGTTGTCCCTATTATGGGCTTTGGACTTTAGTGTTTCGAGATATAGCTGGAGGAAGGTTCGTGGGCAGATTCTACTGATCGGACTAGGAACGAAGCCGAAATCGCCAGCACTTCGACTTTTGACCCGCTGAACTGAAAGCCCATAGAAACATGACAGCGGCCCCGGAGCCTTCTAGATTCGCTTCAGTGGACCTGGGGTCTTTTTGAGTTTCACCAGGCTTTTGGACTCCAAACCCAGGTTCTGGGGTTCGGGGTTTAGGGTTTAGGGGTTTAGGGGTTTAGGGGTTTAGGGGTTTAGGGGTTTAGGGTTTAGGGTTTAGGGTTCAGGAGCTTCACCCTGCGTGTTAAACATAACCAGGCACCGCCAAGTCTTCGTCAGTCAAGCCGTGCACGTCTTGCAAGTACCTTGGCGTCTTCCTATCGACTTTCAGAACCGTTGTCGGTGGTTTTAAAACCCCCTTGTCTCAGCACGCACACCATGATTTACAAAGCAAGTTCTCCAAAAGGCGGGAGCTGAGCTTTCAAGCCCTTGATGGAGTGGTCGGGCAGCGGCACACGGTTCAGCTTCTGGTTTGGGGATCAGAGCTGCAGCTTGGGGTTTGCGACCGGGGCCTGAGAGCTGTTTGCATGGCACCTCCTGTCTCAAATTTTCTTTTTGGATATGTATGTATGTATGTATGTCTGTCTGTCTGTCTGTCTGTATGTCTGTATATATGTATGTCTGTATGTCTGTCTGTCTGTCTGTCTGTCTGTCGGTCTGTCTGTATGTATGTCATGTATGCGTATAAAGACAGATAGAAAAAAGAGCGGGTGAAAGATAGATGGACAGATAGATGGATAGATCGATCGATAGATAGATGGATGGATGAATAGATAGATGGATGGATAGATAGACAGAGGGAGGGAGAGCGAGCAAGAGAGAGCGAGAGAGAGAGAGAGAGACAAAGTGTGTGTGTGTACTTACTGCTCTATTCAGATTTGTTTGCATTTTACTCATTTAATGAGAGAATATATAAACAAGAAATTGCTCTTGGTATTTTTTCCACCACTCGCCCGAATCGAATCTTCAAGGCATCCAGTTTTAATCTACAGCGTCCGAAAGCGCCTAGATACATTCCGTAAGGATAGGACCCCCCAAGACGGAAATCGCACGAACTCACCTAATATACAGGTCGCAGTATCTAGTAATAGCATACCCTTTTAGATGCACCCCCCCCCCCCCCCCCCCCC